ACCATATGTTCAGATTAATTAATTCTTAGAGGTGTAATCGTCTATTTACCTTCTTAATGTAACATTTTAGTTATTTTGATTCTTGAATTATATATTTATGATAAAAAAATTTTAGTGTCATCTTAGATAATTTCTCATTGTTTATTAATATAATATAGTATATTTTAAACTAAAAAATTTGGTTGAATTTTTCTATAGGAGTGAAATTAATCTGGATCCTTCCATAAGTTCGGGATACCCCAGGTTAATAAAAAAAAAAGTATATTTTAGACGTAACTGAAAATTGATTTGCAAATTTTATTTCAGTTTTTTTTTTTTTAAGATTAGCGTTTATTTTTGAGTTTATTCTAAAAAGAAAAGTATCAAAATACAACAAAAGTATGTTATTATCTTTGTGAACTACTAAGTTGTAGACTATTATGGTGTAAGACACTAATATTTTAAAGTTGAAAAGTTTCTACGTCAAATCGAGATTTTGATTCATTCAGAGAATGCAAAATATCTATTCGGATTCTACAATTAATCCTAAAACTGTCCGTCGTGGATAAAAATTAAATCAACTTTTTCGGCTTTATTCAAAATGGTCCGTTTAATGTCGGCCCATTTACAGTTCCTCTCAGTCTCTCTTGCAGCCGTAAGGTTTCACCGCCGATTTATTATGCGGTTTACCATCTTGAGTTAAAAGGAACATGCTTGTGATGGCTTAGTGATGTGATCTTTGGTTAGGTATCTGCGAATCCATGTGATCTTGGCTTGTCATTTTTTCTCTCACATTCTTTATGTAAAATACATCAAACAGAAGTTATGAGATTGATTTCTGTTACCATTTTCACATGCATGCCTCTCTTCCTTCATTTTCTCTTGAACTACGACCATCTTACTATGAATTGCCTTATCTGAATCATCTTCGAATTTATCACGTTACAATGGTGTCTGGTAAACAGGGTACTGTCACTTTGATTCATATGTTTTTGCATTGGTTATATACATGATATATATAAAAGGATTAATTAGTCCTTGTGTTAGATATGAAGATATGGGAACTAGGTTATGGCAGACGAGCTCTATAAGCTGTTGGAATAGCTAATAAGTATGTTCTTCTTGGTGTTAATATATGTTAGAACACTAACTCGAAAAGACTTCAAAGCCACATTCGATAATGATACGTACTCTTATCTCTCTAGCTAGCAGCTTCATCAGCTGAATTCAAAGAAAAATGATCCATTGGCAATGTATGCTGGAGACATTATGACGGTGTAAATGGGTCTTAGTTTAAATTCTATTTAACCGATTTTTCATTACACAAAACATAATTTGTATCATATGAGATTGTTGCATGTCAATGTGAATCTTGCGGGGGGCTTCCTGCTATTGTATTACCATGTGGACTAGTCGCAGGAGGTCCCTCGTGATCTATCTGTTGGTCTTCAAATGATCGATGCAGCCTGTGATGAAGTTTGTTATATGAACTATTTGCTTACTCTCAAGATTAAGAACAACCTTTTGTGATTGGTTTTAGGAGAAATTGCTTAAAGTTAGTCATGTATTTGAGCAGACACGCAAAGGTCCAAGCTTTTTGTTCCTCATTGTTACCAAATGTGACGTAAGACATGGAAGCACGAGGGCTCTTCTTTTGTGCGTTAACTTTCATGCTTTACTTGAGTAATGCGTATTAATCTGTATTTTTTCTTCTCTCCTTATAAATCTACAATACAAATGTAGATGCTAGGTATATTATCCATTTTATTATATTTATGTTCATGAAGTTGCATTCATGCACTTGATTGTTTTTATTAGTTTTGTGAATGATATGGTTGTTTCTTTATTAGCACAAATCTAGAATATTTCAGATGAAATCATGCGCTAACCTATAATTATGCAAACATATTATAATCTAGTGGTCCACGCGAATGTATGTCTCCGATGGAAGATCGGAAATCCAACGGCTCAAAATCATGCGTCTGCAATGTTTGACTGCATGAAAATCGCCACCTGGCATATGCAAATATATTATTTTGGTAACTATGCATTATGCAAACGATTTTCATTGGAAGTATCCCCTTCTTATTATTTGAGGAAAACTTTTGCAAATAAACATTTACTTCATGTGTTTATTACATACATACCATTTCCTACGTGGCAACTGCACAAGTTTTCTCACACCTTTTAACTAAAAGACCTTAGTTAACTAGAATAATTACACAACATGCCATTGATATAAATATACATATATGACATATATGATATAACAATAAAGACATGCATATACTCGGCATATAGTTAATTAAATTTCCTTATATATTTCCTTATATACGATACGATATATTTTGTTACATAAGTATGATATATTTCCTGATATAAGTATTTTGTTACATGTACGATATATTTTATGTATATCATTCTC